AGGTGATCAGCTTGGTGTTTGTTTTGTATACAAAATTACACCTTGTCAGATTCATAGCCGCTAAGCATCCACATACAAAAAATCTATAATCATGAGATTATTGATTTATATGAAATATTGTTTGCCCGACATGAAACAATTAATTTTGCGGATGTTGTCGGCTGTGTGATCTACTGATTCACTTTGGTGTCAAAAAGCAACAACCCATATATTGTACATTACCTTGATTCACGCTCCAATAATGTCCTACAATTATGACTCTGAGTCAAACTTCAATTATGACTCTGAGTCAAACTTCAATTATGACTCTGAGTCAAACTTATTGCCACTGAAATATACATATGAGTGTTATATTTACATGGATAGTATATAACAGGTACATGTAGGCAGTAATAATGAAATTTCTCCCAAACTCAAAACACAGGTGCATTTCCCTTTTTTTTAGGGAAAAGATAATATATCTGCCATTTACCTAACCTATGGAAAGATTATATATCTGCCATTTACCTAACCTAAGGAAAGATTATATACCTGCCATTTACCTAACCCAGGGAAAGATTATGTACCTGCCATTTACCTAACCTAGGGAAAGATTACATACCTGCCATTTACCTAACCTAGGGAAAGATTACATATCTGCCATTTACCTAACCTAGGGAAAGATTATATATCTGCCATTTACCTAACCTATGGAAAGATTATATACCTGCCATTTACCTAACCCAGGGAAAGATTATGTACCTGCCATTTACCTAACCTAGGGAAAGATTACATATCTGCCATTTACCTAACCTAGGGAAAGATTATATATCTGCCATTTACCTAACCTATGGAAAGATTATATACCTGCCATTTACCTAACCCAGGGAAAGATTATGTACCTGCCATTTACCTAACATATAGGGAAAGATTATATACCTGCCATTTACCTAACCTAGGGAAAGATTACATATCTGCCATTTACCTAACCTAGGGAAAGATTATATATCTGCCATTTACCTAACCTATGGAAAGATTATATACCTGCCATTTACCTAACCCAGGGAAAGATTATGTACCTGCCATTTACCTAACATATAGGGAAAGATTATATACCTGCCATTTACCTAACCTAGGGAAAGATTACATATCTGCCATTTACCTAACCTAGGGAAAGATTATATATCTGCCATTTACCTAACCTATGGAAAGATTATATACCTGCCATTTACCTAACCCAGGGAAAGATTATGTACCTGCCATTTACCTAACATATAGGGAAAGATTATATACCTGCCATTTACCTAACCTAGGGAAAGATTATATATCTGCCATTTACCTAACCTAGGGAAAGATTATATATCTGCCATTTACCTAACCTATGGAAAGATTATATACCTGCCATTTACCTAACCCAGGGAAAGATTATGTACCTGCCATTTACCTAACATATAGGGAAAGATTATATACCTGCCATTTACCTAACCTAGGGAAAGATTATATATCTGCCATTTACCTAACCTTGGGAAAGATTATATATCTGCCATTTACCTAGCCTAGGGAAAGATTACACATCTGCCATTTACCTAACCTAGCGAAAGATTATATACCTGCCATTTACCTAACCTAGGGAAAGATTATATATCTGTCTTTTAACTAACCTAAGGAAAGATTATATATCTGCCATTTACCTAACCTAGGGAAAGATCGTATACCTGCCATTTACCTAACCTAGGGAAAGAATATATACCTGCCATTTACCTAACCTAGGGAAAGATTAAATATCCGCCATTTACCTAACCTAGGGAAAGATTATATACCTGCCATTTACTTAACCTAAGGAAAGATTATATATCTGCCGTTTACCTAACCAGAGTAGGGAAAGATTATATATCTACCATTTACCTAACCTAGGGAAAGATTTCATATCTGCCATTTACCTAACCAGAGTAGGGAAAGATTATATATCTACCATTTACCTAACCTAGGGAAAGATTTCATATCTGCCATTTACCTAACCAGAGTAGGGAAAGATTATATATCTACCATTTACCTAACCTAGGGAAAGATTTCATATCTGCCATTTACCTAACCAGAGTAGGGAAAGATTATATATCTGCCATTTACCTAATCTAGGGAAAGATAATATATCTGCCATTTACCTAACCTAAGGAAAGATTATATATCTGCCATTTACCTAACCTTGGGAAAGATTATATATCTGCCATTTACCTAGCCCAGGGAAAGATTATATATCTGCCATTTACCTAATCTAGGGAAAGATAATATATCTGCCATTTACCTAACCTAAGGAAAGATTATATATCTGCCATTTACCTAACCTAGGGAAAGATTATATATCTGCCATTTACTGTACCTAGGGAAAGATTATATATCTGCCATTTACCTAGCCTAGGGAAAGATTATATATCTGCCATTTACCTAATCTAGGGAAAGATTAAACTGCTGATGCTTTCATCCTGAAAATATCACCACTTCTCAATATAGGATCGTTTCATCATTCTTAACCCCAAGAGGGTGAATGATTCTTTTATTTCTTCTGTTGATCTAATTATCTTTTGAAGTCAGAATCATATGATTTAATACAGATGTCAAATAGATTGCATGTTAATACATATTAATGAAGACTTCGACTTAACAATGACATGTCAAAACATTCCATTCATTGTCTTTCCAGAGTACATAAAACACATTCAAGTTTCAAACCTAAACCATTCCATGAGAAAACCAGGTGTATATGAGGAAGCTGAACCAATAGATGATATAATATATAACACAAGTGATTGTAATTGTAATCAAGCCATATCATGCGTGACTTCTCTATAATTATACAATATCTTGTGATAAACACCAAAATTGTTAAAAGCAGTGGGGACAGGACCTTACCATGTCATGTACAGTACTGACGACCAAATATACAATGTATGTATGTACATTGGAACAATTACAACATCATTCATGTTGAACTGGCCAAGCATATGTACAATGTGTTTATGTAGGAAATGGACAGTTACAATATATATATATGTAGCATAGGAACATATATATACGATGGGGAAATTTACAATGTATTTATGAAAGCCTTGAAGGAGAAACGTTTTTAGGTAGGATAGAACATGCAATGAATTAAAATGATTTGGACCAATTACCATAAAAACCCATGCACATTTTTTTTCAGAAATTTAATACCTAAAGTGGGGGGTGCGTAAAATACACAGGTATAGAAAATTTCAAGTTTTTTTCAGTAAGATCGACGATTCTGGGAGATCCCCATCTTGGATAACTCCCTTGGTACACGGAACTCTAAGACAAACTACGGTCAACAAATTTATTGATGTCAAACATTAATAAAAGATACAGTTGATACATAATATGTTGTTATCTGAGTTTATGTGAAAAGTATTATTAAATAGGTAACCGTTAACAAAGAAAGTTTAGCCAAATTCCTTTGCCAGAGAATTCCGAATCGCCGATCAACTTACGACGTTACGTTTCGACATCTTGGTGCGTTTCCCCATACTATTATGAAAATGTAGTTGTTCAATTTAAGCTCCGTTCCATGCAAGTTCTGTAAGATTTTTTGGGTGCGCAAAATATTCGGGTAAAAGCTTTTTTCACGATTTTCAGCCTCAAAAAGTACCTGCGCAAATTACACAGGTGCGCAAATTACATGGGTTTTTATGGTACACTGTATTCATGTAGGGTATGATGGGAAAAATTACAATGTATTAATGCAGGTCTGAAACAGTTATAATGTATTTATGTAAGACTGGAACAATTACACTGTATTCATGTAGGGCATGATGGGAAAAATTACAATGTATTAATGCAGGTCCGAAACAGTTATAATGTATTTATGTAAGACTAGAACAATTACACTGTATTCATGTAGGGTATGACAGGAAAAATTACAATGTATTAATGCAGGTCTGAAACAGTGATAATGTATTTATGTAAGACTGGACCAATTACATTGTATTCATGTAGGGCATGATGGGAAAAATTACAATGTATTAATGCAGGTCTGAAACAGTTATAATGTATTTATGTAAGACTGGACCAATTACACTGTATTTTTGTACATATGTTCACGTTCACATAACAATGCATTCATGCTGCAGCCAAACCTATATAACACTTGATCATTATATTATTACACATGACAAATTACATAACTGAAGGTAATATATACGGAAAACGAAGGCAGCATTTTGAAAACAAAACTTAGGCAAAACAAATCTTTGCAGAAATAGCAAGCCATAATGTGCCGGTCATTTCTGCAACCAATCATAAGGAAATCAATCCCACAGGTGATATACACAAATCAAATTGTGTCACATATCAAATACAGGCATTTAATGATAATGTTTTGATTTCAAAATAACTTAAATACAGACAACTCCATATCTAGGTGAATTGTGGGTCATATAATATTTACAATAAGCAGTTCACCTGATACACTGTCTGTCAAATGAAAGCAGATGATCATTTTAACACAAAAAAAGTATATCATAAGCTCTCATGTCAGGGCAAAATTATTCCAGTCTGGTTAGCTTCAGGACAGCTTAATTACACGCAAAACGTGAGTGTTTATAAAAATTGAAAATTGAAACAAAAACTGTCTTTACAGAAAGTTAAAATGACAATATTTAGGCATGAATATATGCTGAAATTAACTTTGATCTAGTATGCATCCATTGCAGCAGTAGATTAAATAATACATTATTTATATATTGTGCAGTTTAATGAAATGAATAAGACGAGAAAAAGTCTGTAAGACATGGAGGACACTTTGGCTTAGTGGTTGACCTAAAAATAGTAACTGTGATCTTGGTGCTCACCTTGAGAATCTGAAATAGGAACTGATCATCCAAGCTTAAGGTGTAAAAAATGGGAAAAGATTTTTTTCCTGACAAAAAAAGCCAAGTACTATAATTAAATGTGTATGGCCTTAAAACAACTTTCACTATACATGTCCCTCTTTGAGTTATCTCCCTTACCTGGTATTCTTCGTCTGCCCCTGCATTCGCACGTTTTTCCTCCACTGCTTTGAACAGCTCGTCACAGAAAATAGGGACGATACCTTTGTTGCTGCCGTAACCGACCATGGAGTAAGATTTGCCACTTCCTGTCTGTCCATACGCAAACAAGGAACAGTTGTAGCCCTTCCATGCATTGTCCAGCACCCCTCTGCCGAGGTCATCAAACACTTTCGTCTGTAACATAAAAAAAAAAGCGAATTAATTCTCTATAATTACAGCTCAGGCAAGTATGCTATTAACTGCACCACCTGACCAACCAAGTAAATAGTTGACTGAGATGAGCCTTTTGCATATAATATATAATATAACTGTATACTGTACAGTAGAGGAGGATTCCTTTTCCCATCCATCAATAATACTATATACCAGGAAATTATTGCTCTGTGAAACTTTCGCCCTTTGTGCCCATGAAATCAATTTTTGTCCAATGTTAATTTCGCCCTTCACATTAACTCATTCACCCCTGAAAACAAATTTGAACTCTACCAATTCAAAGGTTGGAATAGTTCATTATGAAATTTCAGGGGTGAATGAGTTAAATAACTATGTTATTATGCTGTTGACTTATATTCACTGCAATGATAAATTTGCCCTCAAAATGGAGGGGGGAAAAGGTAAAAGTTAAACTGCGGCAAAAATTTCCCAGTATACACAGATTATATACTTTTTCAAGACAACAGTTACCAGCACTTGTAATCTACTTTCTTTACTCTTTCCATTGAGTGCCAATGGTGATATCATATATATAGGATCTTACATGAGTTTCCATTCCATATGAAATTTATGTAATGAGTCTAAGAATTTTTCAATTTAGCAAACCTCTGGCGAGCTAAAATGAAAAACAAGTTTCATAAATTTCATATGAAATGAAAACAAGTGTGAGATTCTTGTTATCACATAATCAAAATTTGTGGCATTTATTCGTGTAAAACGACAATTTTCATGCAATCTTGAAATGTAAAAACCCACCATTTTGACACCAGTGCAAAAGTCTGTGATGTCATGTACTTGTCCAAGACGTGATGTCACAATTGAAACAATTGAAACTTACAAGCAATCACAGGGCTGATAGGTCATATTACATGGGTTAATACGCAAATAAATATAGCATGGGTATATATATATTCACTGGATAACACAGTACATTATGTGATAAATTTTACTGTTTCCCGGAACTGTCACAATATAATTTAACCTAGCTTAGAATTTTTTGACAAATGTAAAAATCAATGTACTGAATCAAAATGAAGAGCCTAAAACTGAACAGGAATTAAAATGATAGAGCTTCATCAGAAAATTTATATCAACAACTTTAAATTTGATAGCCTAGTTTATAATCACAATGTCAAAGAAATATTATTATTCAAAGGTCTTATGTAGAGATATTGATTTGAGACAATAACAAATTTGGCCCACATGACCTAAAATAGGTTGTCAATGATCATTTAGGGTTCTTGAGAGAAGTGTTTAACACATCTGACCCTTTTAAATTTGAAAGATAGTCAGGGTAATTTCTTCGAACAAAGTTGATGGACCTTCCTTCAACCCAGGAAGCCATATGTCAAATATCATGACTCAAGGTTTTATGGTTTTTAGAAGAAGTTGTTGGAAGAAAAAGTTGACAATGGCCACCAAGCCAAGTGTTCTACAATTTAGCATTCATGTAAGCTCACAGGCACCTGAACTCTGGAATATTCTGTATACTATTAGCTATCCTGATGGGCAGGAATTTTTTAGTGTTCCAGTCAGACACAAATTTTAAAATTGAATAAACTTGAATATCAGAACAATTTAACAAAAAGAAAATTCAAAGACTTTGAAAATCTGAGTGAACAACATGCTTGGCAGACAGAGCTTTCAAACTCACAGAATGTCGTGATATTTACCCTATGGTTCTAAATATAACTTTCTCATTAATAATGTATACATGTATAACCGTTCTGAATAATCAAACACACTTCGACAGCACAGCATGAGTTGTCCTTAAACGGTACAGCGATTACAAAGTTATTGGTGTGAGAAATCTGTCAATAACATGGTTCATCAACCAGGTTTTAACTCATTCACCCCTGAAGATTCATAATGAACTATTCCAACCTTTGAACTGGAAGAGTTCAAATGTGTCTTCAGGGGTCAATGTCAATTTCCTAAAAGTGAACTCGGATAGTATTGAAAATATTTACCATTTCTTGTAATTCTCTACCAATAAAAGTTTCATGAATATCACTTGGTTTCCTGTTTATCTCGGTACACAATAAATCATATATAAAAATTATTCAAATTTAAATACACATTTATTACAATTTAAATAAGACAAAAATTAAATAAACATAAACCATGCAGGCAAATCATGGGAACCCATCTTTAACTAAAAAGAAACATTTATGTAATTCAATAAATATCATAACTATGTGTACCGTATTTGCCATAACTAAAGTGCCTGATCGATTTGCTGAAGTGAATTGCTTTAGATAAAAAACACAGGTTGTGGCAGTAAGTAAAATGCTGTTTTTTAACAGTATTTCATTCAATAATCAGGCAATGTTATTTTATACATGCAGTTTGCGAGGGATCGGAAAACACGCTTGGAACTTATATTAATTCCTCTCCTAGATGCTGTTTATCAGACACAACTGAATGATACATCCAAAATTGTTTTTTTCTAAAATGCCAGAAAACACTCTTAATTGATTGTGAGCCTGTAGCTCTAGGTGTCGGGGATAAAAAGAAGAATCCTACATTTTGGTAACATTTATATATATGCCACAGTTCCTACTCACAAACTGGCAAGTAGCCAAAATATGGATATAAATACATTAATTACGAACTGTACAATTTGCCTGACCTATTACTTACAGTGCTACCAGACTTAAAATGTATATCCTTGTATGGGAAGCCTACCAGGTCACATATGTGATTCTTAATTACAGTTAAGCTGGCCTCATCAAACCGGATTATAAAGGTAACATTACAGGCGTTGTACACAGAAATGTACAAATTAACTGACGTTCACCTCAAAGGTTTGAATATACATGTATATAAAGTTCATTAAGAAATTTCAGGGGTGAATGAGTAAATCAATTATAATGCATATATAAATATATATCAGACCTACTTGTATCACCTGTACTTGATCAATGTTTAATGAAAAGCTCAATTACTCAAACCTGAGAAGCCAATTAAGTGGCCAATTTATTTATTTGTTTATTGTATATGGGGCCAATATTGTCACATTAAAATAGAGGTTTTTAAAAATAGGATCGCTGTTTAGGAGTCCAGTCCCAATACAGATAAAACACTGGTCTCATCCCTGAAGACACATTTGAACTATTCCAATTCAATGGTTGGAATAGGTCATTATGAAATTTCAGGGGTGAATGAGTTAAGAGTCCATCCAGGGGGAAACCAAAAAAGTGGTCCTTTATCACAAATGGCCTCTTAATACAGGTTTAATTTACAAAGAAATCACTACAATGGGGGATATGAAAGGTGGTCTCTTAATACAGGTGGTCTCTTAACACAGGTGGTCTCTTATTAGACACAATAGCAATTTTTTCGTATCTACAGTAACCTCCACTTTGTTTTGTTTTAAGTACATGTACAACTGTAATGCACTATATCAGTGCACTTTCATTAACCAGGAAATCCACCTATAGTTAGATTGGCAGTATAACAATTTGAGGCCCTGTGTTTGAATCCTGCACTGGTCCTGCTGAATTTTTATACTAAGAACTCTGTTGGAGATTTATATTCTAATTTTTTATATTTTTTTTGTCATACAATCCTGACAGGTATAGTTACTTTTCAGAAGTGATTTATTGATGCCATGTATAGTCACACTGGAAAATAACAGTTTCCGATGTATACATGTAGTTCACATAGTTATACAGTTTTTGGCAGTGGTACGGGGATCCTTAAAGAAAATAACAGTTTCTGTTGTATAGTTATACAGTTTTTGGCAGTGGCACGGGGATCCTTAAAGAACAGTTTCTGTTGTAAGTTATACAGGTTTTGCAGTGGTACGGGGATCCTTAAAGTAACTGTAATGCACTTAACAGTATCAATATCCAAGGACTCCTTGTCTATTGAGTGGAATTCACTTTCAGATTTCAAACATTTTATTTCACTCATGATCAGCCACACATTTGTAACATATCTGACGATAGACCATGTACTGTGGATCTTTAACTCATCGACCCCTGGAGACACATTTTAGCTCTTCCACTTCAAAGGTTGGAATGGTTCATTATAAAATTTCAGGGGTGAATGTCAGAGTTAAAAGGTCTAGTCTAGTGATAAGCGTTATATTGCTGTATGTCGTCCTTATAGATATGGCCAGTTGGCCACATACCTCCTACAAAGGTTATTTTCAGGGAGATAACAAAAGGAATTTAATCAAAAGCATCTTAAAAATTGTCCATGCCATAAATTGAAATTTTATATGATGTGTACACTTTGAACTTTCAGGAGTATTCCCTTTAAAAGATCCATTAGACTACCTGTACCTGTTCAGTGTTGGACTGTAAACTGAACTTAATTAAATCCAACAAAAGTTTAAATATAACAGTTTAGAAATGGAGTCCATGGCTTAATATTAAGAATTAGGGAAAAAATGCATCTACAAACCAAATTGTGAATTTTCAGAATTATAGCAATTTTGTAATGATAATGATACATCATTATTCATGAAAAAATATTTCATCTCTACATTGCTGTTACATTGCCATCTGAATGCAAGTTGAGAAATACAAAACAAAACCATTTTTGTTTTGAGATTGGGAAATTTTAAAGAGATGCTTGGAAATAATAGCAACATTTTCCATTGGAGAAGCTCTGTATCTGATCAATTCTCAAGCCAATGATGATGTCAAATTTCAGCTCCAACATTTCTATCACTCCAGAAAAAGCCCTACATCTGATCAATTCTCAACCGAACCACGATGTTTTGATTTCTATTTGTCTATAACCTCTCATCCAGCTCTAACTGACAAAAATTCCAGGAAAAAATGGAAATATTCAGGTTTAAATAATAAGACTATATCATAATGCCAGGAAATAATGCAGGGTTGACACCAAAAACACTGGGTCCGTCGTCGAATGCCTTGAAACAAACATATATTCATTTGGGCCTAAATAGTATAGCAAAAAATACATCACTTTTGAAAACTGTTTTACCTGTAATTAATGTATCTAGGTGAAATAAAACAACTTACCTGATCTGCATATTTAGATCCAGTGGGTTCCAAATAGCCATCGCTATTTTCTTTGAACTCATCGTGGGACCAGTAGGAGAAGTCAAAAGCAAAAGGTCTGGGATCAGTGGACATGTTTTCCGGATCCTGGATCGTCGTCGTCTTCCCCGACATACCAATGATAACTTTGGCATTTCTGGCAATCTCTCTTGAGTTGTATGTATAGTCAAGGAACAAACATCGGAAGGAGGGTGGAGGTTAAAATTTATAATGTCAAAAAATGTTGTGTAAAAATACACTTTTATAATTATTTTTTAATGTATATTTAATAATAAATCTTTTTAAAAATACAATCTATACAAATTAATCATGCAAAATTCTTGTTCTGCAGTTTTCGCATAAATCCATCCACTTTTCTTTTACTTATGCTGCCTATAATTCTTTTAAATAAATTATAAAAGATCTTAACAAATTATGCATACATTTATTTATATATTGCAGACAGACTGGGCGAACTTATGACCAGTGACAGGTAACTGTTGGTTAGAGTGTCGGTCTGAAGTTCGGAGGTCCTGGGGTGGACTCCTGATCAAACCAATTGCATTTTTTCTCCTTTTACAAATATATCAACACCCACATGTGCTTCTTAATTCATTTCAAATCATTGCATCCGACAAACCGTGTAGGTCCATGGAAATTAATCCCACTGCATGTTTAATATCATATGAGGTGATTTATGTGCAGTGGCCGTCGGGGCCCCTACATAATAATTAGATTGGTCCGGGTGATGCAGTGGCTAGCGCACTCGCCTTTCACCAAAGGCGGCCAGGGTTCCTTTCCCTGATTGGACGTGAAAAGGTATATGGGCTGGGTCACCTGCCCGCCCACGTGGGTTTTCTTTGGGTACTCTGGTTTCCTCCCACAGTAAGACCCCAATAAGGCCAACAAGAGTGATTGATATAAGTTAAAATAATTTGTTTCATAGTTGTTGTAGATTAAATAAAGTTTATATATTTAATTTGATTAATAAGAGGATAGGTTGGGGGGATGGGGGTATTTGTCTTCGGAAAGGGGCAATTACAATATGAATATTTGGGATATATATTCTCTCTCTCCCCTACTCTTTATTTTCGTTGGTGTCTCTCTCCCTAGGCACCCATCTTCGTTTTACCTTATCAAACCAAATATAAACAATCAAACAGACAAAACAATGCATAAGTCAGAAAAAGGAAAAAGAGGGGGGAAAAGTAGCTATATTTGTGTTAAGCAACATTCAAAGTTCACCTTAATGAATATGTGAAGAAATTGGATGGTCAGTGGCACAGTGCATTGGCACACTTGCCTTTTACCAAGGAAACTTGGTTGATTATAAGGCACATCGGTTGATGTTAAGAGTGTCCTTCCAGAGTTATCAAGGTACAGGTTCAAATCCTGGTCTGGTCATAACATTTTCCATATATATACATGTACATGTATTTACTTTCTTCCGAACTAAATTGCCCACATAAGGTAATATAGGGTATTGCGTGCCTTTTGGAAAGAAATCATTGTTAAGGATCTTCTGCACATGTAGATCGAGGGAGCTGGAATATATACAAGGATAATCCTGGAGGGGGCTACGGGGCCATAGACCCCTCCATGTTCTAATTTTCTTCAAATTTTACATAGAATGGCCCCTCCTAATTTTGTTATTGACTAAAAATTGCTGAAAATTGTCCATTTCTCTCAAATTCCAGGATTTTCCCCGATATATATATATGCATTCTTTGTATATATGTGACAGAACCTGACAGAGACTAGTCATTAGCGATGCAGGTTCATAACTGTAGCTTAGTTGGTCAGAGCTTCCGTATTGACTTAAATTACATTCTCCATAAATATACATCACATGTTTGATGCATTGTCAAAATAAAACGCTCTGACCCTCGTATACATTTTGATAGCTCGCTTGCATGGGTAGGATCTCCTTAATTTATCAACTTGTTGGTCTGCACAAAAGTAAAATTGAAGTCAGGAAGTTTTGGGCTATACAAATGAAATTAGGAACATATATATCTATTTGTAAATAGGCATATACTTATACTGAAAATAAACATGTACATGTAGGTCTGTAAAATACATTAAAATCTCAAGAGCTAATAATTTAAATGAAACTCAATACTAAAAACCATTACTTGCGCTGTTGTTTACATAAACAATTAGTGGCATGCGAGGTAAGTGTATGTATATGTATGATTGTGTAGCACGCGCCACTATTGACAATGACAGCTTAGCGTACCTAGATACGAACGAGTATCGTGTCATGACTGGCCATGACACTTGTTTATACGCCGTAAAATACCTTGTCGGAGTAAACACAGCCTCTGAATCTCCTTTTTGTATCCAACTGACAAACGACACATCATGTTAACGGGCAACAAAAGGATATGAAGGGGCGAACCCGCACCGCTACTTTCACACTTTCAGCCATTTTTCACGTTCTTCTATTAATTGGCTGTTTCTTTAACCTCCCTTTTCAAACGGTAAGCGAAAATAATATCGACAGTCTCAATGTCATGACATTTTTTCGTGAAAATAATCACAATATTTTAAAATGAATTTATGAATGTTTCAGCCTGCTGATATTACTTTTTATATGTTAAACACAAACGAAATCATACATGAGGGAGAAAGCCAGTAATATAGAAGAGCACATTAGTTACTTCCGTAAACAAAAGATCGACAACTGTGTTAACTTCCGATCTTAATAAAGCGCGGGAATTTTGAATGCAGTCAATCCTTTGATCAATCCGCCGCGCAGGAGTGACTTTTTTTTATACCAATTAAAAAATATAAATTCCAAAACTTTCAAAGACAATGAAGCACCCTTCTAAGATAATGAAGCACCCTTCTAAGATAATGAAGCACCCTTCTAAGACACTTCATCAGGTGACTTATAACCAACGTTTACATGACAGATTGGCGTGTATATTCTTTTCATTAGAATTGTTTTTAATATACATAATTTATTATTTGTAAGGGTGTTGCCCTTGTTCAATAAAAGAAAGCAAACAGTTAAATTATAATTGATATTTATGACAAAATAAATTAATATTTAATTGCCAAAATGATCGCCTAAACTACATGTACAAATAAAGTTCAAACTCCAGTTCTTTATTTTTTTACAGACATAAAATATAAATACTCTACGTTATGAAATATAACTCGGAAACTCAGAAAACTATTCTACGCCTCACTCGATCTGTTTGTCAATGGAAATAATGTCCGATAAATTCTTGCTTTTCTACACTCGGCAGTGCTTGAAACAGTTTACTGTTACACCTTCAAAAAAACAAATCTTCGCCTCGCTTCGCTCGGCAGTGAAAGTATAATTGTCCCACTCTTACAAAGAAAGAAGTTCTAGATTTTTGTTGGCAGAAATTAGTATACATGAAGAACCGCCATTATAATTCTAATATATTAGTACCAGATCAGTGCAAAAATCTGTCTTTTTCTGAGTTTAAAATGTTTGGCAACACGTAATATTAATTCCTGGGTATAAAATGACATAACTGAAAGTTATCTCTTGCACTTGAAGTATAAATAAACAACGTTCTGGGCAACGGGGTCTGACTTTTAGTCTGTTATTCATGTAGAAAGCTTGTCCTAACAAAATTGCTCACTGTCGCTATAGTGTCATTATAAAACCGAGTTTGACACCTTAATCATGTAAGAGAATCGTTCATTATCACACTAGTCCTGGGTTCGATTCACAGAAGAAGTTTTTGTAGCAAACAGTGTTTTTACAGTTTCCGACACCCATACAGTGAAAAGACAATTGCATAACGTAACTATATGGACAAAATAGAGAAGTCATTTGTGACGTCACATACTAGTTGCCTAGCTGCTTAGCAACCGTCAAAGGCGGAGATGATCAGTCTCTCCCCTCGTGTTTACGTTTTATATTAAGTCTTAGATTACCATAATGACTATCAGGTCATTCTTGCTATTTGTGGTATTGTTAAGCGCAATGCTGCAAGGTCCTGCTCAATACCTGGACCTTACATGGTAAAACGTTTGGCCTACACTTTACATATTACATGTACATATGTTTGGCGTTATTTCTAAATAACGTGTACAAGTTAAATCAAATGTCTCTATCCAATGTTTGCAAATGTTTAATAATAACTTTGTGGTTTTCTTTTAAGCGTGGAGCCGGAACCTGGATATGGCCGAAGAGTGTTTCATTATTTCACCGCAACTGAAATTGAGAAAGTATGTCCTACTTCTGCCGATCTGACATGGGTAAGGACTCATATATTAGTATAATTGTCTGTTCCTTTACACAGTTGAAGATTTTAACTTAATATTTAGTACCGTGTTATAATAAAATAAACTTTGCTGCACATAACACATGTGGGCCTCAAATCCCATATGTATTTCTTCCACTGGAGATGGATTTACATAAGTTGTAAAACTTGTTTCCAAATCCATTTTCAATAATAGTGTACTGTTTTCCATCATACCGTAAATGAAGAAAGAAAAAAAAAAGAAATACAATTAACCCTAACCCTAACTTTCTTGAATTGACGAATGTGGATCATCAGCTGTTTTAATTAAGTACAAAACCCTGGAAATAATCATACTTTAATATATTTCAGCGAATTGGAAAGGAGATATTCTGCACTCTTCTCTGTGTGCTTCTGATGCTTTTGTTGGACTATGTGCCGTCGATTGCAAATGGCGCCAAAGTAAGATGGCCAGCCATGGTTTCATTAGTCCGCGAATGGATCAATCGTAAGTAACATAGAGCTCGAGGATTGCAAAACTGTATGATGTTACAGTATCGGATTTCTGTATGGAATAAGAACTTCATTCATTTCAGCTATTTGTTTTTTTATTTTAGTGTTAAACACATCATCATCTTAAAACAGTATCAAGGCACGTGAAAACAAAAGATGCTCCTCCCCGTTATTGAATATCCAATACATTCGGTACAATTTTAATATATGAGCTTTTGAGCTTTCCTTTTGGATGAACTAAGGAATCGGACGTTGTTTTCGTGATACCGTTTTCTAAATCACTTAAACAGGTCCTGCCCCGTCGTAAAATACATATTTGTGCTTGGTAAGATCAGTTCCCCTTTTGTAATATACATATGTGTGCTTGAACAGGTCCTGCCCTCTGTCGTTGCATACCTATTGGTGCTTGAACAGTCCAACCCATGTTGTAACATACGTGTACATTTTTGTGCTTATACAGGTCCTTCCCGCTGTCGTCACTGCGGTACTGCCCCATGTCAGGTCAAATGGAAATGCTTATGGAAGACCAAAGGATTTCGTAAGAGGGACAGCGCCAATTTTGTGGAGCGGTCAAAGGCCATGATGGTATTCAACTATGGACTATCGATATCAGTGGAACTGACTAAAGAGCTGCCACTGGATGACCTGTTCTTGGAGAGGTGGTTCTGCCAGCGATTTGAGGAGGAGCACATGGTGTTGTTCCCACAGTGTATCCAGCGCCATATCAACTACTGGTACCCCGTCCCTCGCTAGGTAGGTAGTTTGTTCGTAAGTTTCTTAAAGCCTATTGTCTCCTGAAAAATAACACGTTTGGAAAGATATCGGGGATTAAAGGAGCAATGCATTTTATCAGAATATGTAAACTGTTCTCTTTTTGGTATTGTTTCGAACATGTAACAATTTTGACCGGTACATCTTCACCAGTGGAAAAAAATGTCTTATCTAATAAAAGTTAAATAATGACTTCAAAATGATTGAAATGTTGCAAAATAATTCGTTAATTTTCTTTTCAGATTCATGGCACCAATCATCAGGAAGAACATCGATGAGATGAAAGTCGATTATGGAATGGACAGTGTTGACTTTGTGTGATAAAGTCTTATCGGTTTCACTGATTCGATGTACATGTATATAATGAAATATTAACTGCTAGTAGTCATATACATGTAGATGGAGTCAATGCTGGCTGTATTTAACTTGTCAGTTATTACTATGTAGAATTTTTAACTGTTTTAATGGTCAATTATTTACAGAGCCTATGCTGGTCAAATTTACCAATTTATAACCTAGTTTACCCTGCATTGGCCAGTACTGGTCCGATGTTTTTGTTCTGGACAGTTCATATATGGGTCAATATAGTAAGTCTGTGTACTATTATTGCTACACTGTATACAAAAGTTTGGCTATTTTTGTAATGGACAGTTGTGTGTTTGGAGATTTTATTTGTGATAAAAAAAAACACGAGAGAAATTAAATATATTATTTATTATTTTCATGTCCTATCGTTTTGCTAATCCTCGACTCATCTTACGTTGTAGACTTAGGTCAGAAACTCTTACAGCGATATAACACAGGCAATGGGAATGGTCTTATTCGACACACATGGCGCAATAAGGTCTGATGAGCCTGTCTGATCCGACACCCTGTGGGACAACACGTTTGTCAGATTAACTTGTCTAAAACGACACACTGTGGGACACATCATGTTTGTCAGATTAACCTGGCTAAAACGACACACTGTGGGACACAACATGTTTGTCAGATTAACCTGTCTAAAACGACACACTGTGGGACACAACACGTTTGTCAGGTTAACCTGTCTAAAACGACACACTGTGGTACACAACACTTTTGTCAGATTAACCTGTCTAAAACGACACACTGTGGGAAACATAACGTTTGTCACATTAGCCTGTCTAAAACCACACACTGTGGGACACAACACTTTTGTCAGATTAACCTCTCTAAAACGACACACTGTGGGACACAACACGTTTGTCGGATTAACTTGTCTAAAACGACACACTCTGGGACCCAACACGTTTGTCAGATTAACCTGTCTAAAACGACACACTATGGGACACAACACGTTTGTCAGATTAACCTGTCTAAAACGACCCACTCTGGGACACAACATGTTTGTCAGATTAACCTGTCTAAAACGACACACTGTGGGACACATCATGTTTGTCAGATTAACCTGTCTAAAACGACCCACTCTGGGACACAACATGTTTGTCAGATTAACCTGTCTAAAACGACCCACTCTGGGACACAACATGTTTGTCAGATTAACCTGTCTAAAACGACACACTGCGGCTGTAATATTAGTTTAGTTTTATTCTCTCTCTCGTGCATTAAATAATTAAAAAGACGAGGAGAAAATGTTATGAATAATTAAATCGATAGCACAGTTTGTTATGTTTGCAAAACGAAATATTTCCTCTTTCACCCTTATAAATAAAACAAAATTCCTACAGGAAAACTGTATTTACAGATACAAAACGAGGACGGGGTTTTGACAACGAAACAACAAAACACACTGATGAGACTTATCAAGAACATGACACTCGTATCGCACGTGGAAACGGATTGAGCATGAGAACGGTTTCATAAATACGGGCCTTGGAACAGCTTAACGTCAACAAATTGTTTGCTTCTAGTGGTTGTCTCATGCTATTCGAGGCGGAAGGAGAAGCTTCGGAATGACGCTAATCCAATTTTATTCATAGCGCTATGAACGCAATTTCTTATGGTAATGCTCATAGAGGTACTTGCAGTGGAAACTTAACATGTAGCCGTGCCAAGGTCAACAGGACGGTGTAGTGAGTGTCCGTTTATTGTGTACCAGACCTCTGCAGCCTGGTTTGGTCAAAACTGATTTAAACTGTCGGTGTATCACCAATATACACAAATTGCACTAACGCGCACCATAGAATATGTTCGTTGCCAACTGCGTTCATACTACCGTATACGCCGTCAAAATGCAGTCAATTCTTAAGTAAACTGTATAACTGTGATCTGAAACGATTTTTTTGCACTTGGCCGCCTCTGAAACGATGAAAATTGCGTCCGCTTCACAATAACGTGACGTCACATTGATTGTTCCTTTTCGATTGTGACGTCATTTCCGTAGTGATACTACACACGTTACATAAACATAATTTATCATATGAATACCGGTACCGTGTAATGCATTGTCATAAAGCCATCAAATAAATAATGTTTATGTAACGGTATAACGAATATCATTCGACATCCGATACCGAAAGCTTAGTTGTATGCACAAGCCGTAAATATCCATTATGTAACTTGGTAAACAAATTTCATACTCCGATTTATAGTCAAAAGCAACAGTAAGTGAAACCAGAAAAGCACAAATCCAATTAGAAATCTGAAATGATATCACCTTACGTGTGGCTACGTACGCAATATAAAACATTTCATAATAGAGGCATACACAACGGTCAACTGCCATGCATACTATTATCAGCATAGCTGCAATGTTTGATCCAAAAGGAAGTGCCATTTGACACCGGGCTCGTGACTGAAGGGTTACGGGTTCGAGTCACGGCACGGTACTGTGTTGTATCTTTGAGCAAAATACTTAACTCTACTCAGCTGTAAATGAGTACATGGTTGGGCAGTACTTGAATTGTCGAATGCTAGCTGTAAGCGCCGAAATGGCAGCACCGTCTGTATGGCTGGTTGCAAAGCTCTAAAACCACGGATCCGCTTTGAGATGACCTACGTGTTGCACCATTTGTGCCTGATTGCCACAAAACAATAGCTCAACGATTTCATAAATTGCAACGGCACGACCACGCCGCGTAATGAGTTTATTACAAACAAACAAAAAACACATTGCATCCTTAATATACATACTCAAATCAAATCCTATCAGATTCAATGTACATCAACATCAATAGCATTACTTAGCTATACTTATCATAATCGCGTATCAGTCTCGTTAAAGTGATACAAAGAGGAAATATCCTCAAAAATTTGGAAAATCTGTGTGAACGTTTCGACGTGTTCGCTCTGAATGACCACCTTACACACCCACACGTGCGACGCAAGCACGGACTCTGCATGCTGCCTCATGTGGCACGCATACGACAGGAGAAAGCAATTTCAGTCTAATTCGTTCCTCAAACGAATGAAATTATATTTATTGTTATTATAGTTACTGAAATACGATTTGGTAAGAAAAACAATGTGTTCTGTATATGGTCGACGTCATAACCACCAGGGAAATATATTCTTTTCATCTCAAGTGATAATTGTCTGACGGGGAAGACGTCTTGGAATTCTCTCTGCTGCTATACATATCATTATTTGTAGTAGTACAGTCTTTTTGATGTTTTAATGCAAACATCATCTTTCCATAGTAACTGTTAATTTCAAAGTAATTTTATATAGAAAAACATCGCTTCCATTGTCGACGATAAGGCTGAATGCCGTTCTTTACATGACAAGCCCTCCGAAAACGTCAACTACATCAAAAGTCCTAATACCTTTCTGTATATTTCCGTCTTTTGAGCATTTTTTGCCATCTAATTTGTTGACCGTTGTGATATTTCCTCCTGCATCGATTTCATCCAATACTCCTTTGCATTCCTTTCCCTCTGTGAATCTGTGACCGCAAACAATATTATAGAAATTAATTACATGTATATATATATAACAAGGTAAAGTATTGCAAGTCAATCCATAGTTCCCCGTCAGTAATAATTTCTGTATTAAACAAACAGTAAACTTATGTCAGAATGTACCTACTGTAAGGAAAGTATCCTGATACATACTTCTTGCGCTCCACCATTCCAAGATGTCCTTGTACACAAAATCGGATTACTACCCCGGACAAACTTTTTCAAAAGTAAAGGTCAAAGGTCAAGGGATAGGTCACAATGACCCAATTATTTCAATCTCCACTCCGTCATCACTAGATGTCATTGTACACCAAATCTGCTAATTAGAGGTGAAAAAGTATAGAAGATATGTCTCGGTCAAACATTTTCAAAGGTGAAGGTCAAAGGTCAAATCTTAGGTAACATGGACCTTCTTTTTGCACTCTGCTATCTGCCATCCCTAGATGTCATTGTACACCAAATCTGGAAACTCGAAGTGAAAAAGTATAGAATATATGCACCGGACACACATTATCCAAGGTGAAGTTCAAAGGTTAAGTCTTAGGTAACAGTTACCTAATTCTTGCACTCTACACTCCGTCACCACAAGATGTCCTTATAAACCACATCTGGTTACTCCAGGTGCAATAGTATAGAAGATATGCCCCGGACAAACCTTTTTCAAAAGTTAAAGTCAAAGGTCAATACATAGGTCGCAGTGAGGTTATAATGGCCTTCTTCTTGCACTCTGCACTTCGCCATTCAAAGATGTCCTTGCACACCAAATCTGGTTACTCCAGATGAAATAGTATAGAAGATATGTCCCGGACAAACTTCTCGGACGGACGGGCGGACGGACGGACAACGCAGCCCATACCAATATACGCCCTGTCGGACGACGGGCGTAGGCGGCGTCATCATAACGTTTCACTTTTATGATGTCTTGTGGCGCTTAATTTATAGGCCGCAACTTTACTCATAAAAAATGATATCTAAAACATTTTAATCCTAAAATATGTTAAATAAACTTTCGGTCATCCAAGAGATGAGCCATGTTCCGCCAATACCTTGTTGTGTTATTTTCTCTGAGTAAACAGAGGTTGCTGTCCTGTAAGGAGGTGTGAGGGTTTATAACTATAGAAGTGCAGTGTAAAAAAAAATGTATCCTATAGCATATTCAGCTTATACAAGAAATGTAAGATCTTAAATTGGTTATTTGATAGAAACTAAGTTCTTCTAGGAGAACGTTTTTGGAGCCGTTTGACCATTTAAGTTAAAACCTACCTATTATTTCTTTATGAGTAGTCTTCTGATATAAAATGCAGTCTCTTCTCCTGGCCACAAACACATACATATGTTGACATTAAAAAGACACTGTAATACTCATAGGATGAATATCAAAATCAGCAACAAACTGCAAAAACGTGATACCTTTGAGCATTTGATCAGAAGAGTTAGAAGAGGCAAGCTATAAATTTGGGACTAGACAAATTAGACCAAACAAGACCATGTTTTATAGTATACCCTTAACACGTCGTATCGTCAAGTGTGACTGCCATCATCTCGATAGAGACTTAGGGTATCGGTAATATAAGGGAGGGTTTATTGTATACAGACCTGTACAAGTGTAGACGTGCCCCCCCCGTCTCTAGAATATGATATAGATATACAATTATTATGAACAGAAAAATGATCACTTGGGCGTCTGATCCTATAAGTTCTAAACTATGGGGAGATAAGCTAGTAGTAAAATGCAGTTGAGAAATTCTGGGTCAGGTACAGTGTACATGTACTGATATACCCTCTAAGTAGGTCAAGCTGATCGGAAAGGACAGGACATAATTTTATCTACAATCAACATTTAGAATGGCGGACTACAACATGAGACCAGCTGTAGAGGGTGATTGTGAGGAGATCCTCCGGCTGATACAGGTACGTTAATTAGTAACTAGCTACGGACTGTAGACACGTGCTTGCTTTATATCAGGGCAACTCCGTTAGGTACACGGTGACTACACAAAAACATGACCTTTTATTTAAGGACCGGGGTAAATAGCGACACATATACATGCATACATTGTATGTCCCTCTCTGCACAGAGCAAAAAGTGGGCGTAACTTACCACTGGCACCGATGATGTATTAAGTGTTGTATGTCTCTTTAAAATAAATTATTGAACCACAAATAATTCATATTCATTCTGTGGTCTTTAAAATGTGGTTAGATTTTCCCGTCTAATGCCAAATTATGTACCATCAGATGCCTTGCGTTGACGATCTGTATTAAACCAGTATATATACCGTCGTATAGAGTAGGTTCATTGTATCAAAAGTATACGGAAACGTATGCTGAGATACAAAAGACATGTTAACTACCATGGAATAGAAAGAAAAAAATACCACTAAATGATATACAGTAAAGTTTAGATCTAATGCCCCTCGTTTAATTTTCCAACTCGTTTACTGCCAACATATTTCAAAGTCCCTTTTTCTCGTTTTCTTAAGAATTCTTTATTACATCAATGTATTGCAACCCCACCCCACCCCTTATAACGATAAATGGTGGTAGTATAACAAGGTTTTTTAGCGTAAACCATTTGTGAATTTTTAGCAAAAATTATAAAAATGTATCGTCTGTTGCAGGAATTAGCTGTCTACGAAAATATGCCGGAGCAAGTGAAGATGACTATTGAAAGTATGCTTACTGTTTTTGCCTGATTGTGTGAGATGCCGAGGAGCACTTAAGTACCTCTCTACTACTTTATTTTTGCAATAAAACCCCTTAAAAATTAAATTATTTTTCATAGAATAGAAAGTCTTAAATGTTGTCAACAAATCACAACACGAATACGACGTACGGTCTGGCGTCAATGATACAGATAAAGTTGTTACACAGAAGTGATGACGATGACGATGGAAGCATGTGTGTGACACATGTTTTTGTTTTTATTGTGTGGTTTTTATCAAAACAATGAACGCGCGAATGGTGATAGCACCAGTAGGGTTCCTGTCGATCGAGACTGATCCCCATCTCTAGAGTGTCTGATCCCATGTTCTCATACTAAGGGGAAATAAGCTATAAAGTAAAATGAGGGTGAACGGGTGGCGCAGTGGATAGCACACTTGCCTTTCACCAAGGCGGCCGGGGTTCGATCGGACTTGAAAAGGTATGGGTCACCTGCCCGACTACGTGGGTTTTCTCCAGGTACTCTGGTTTCCTACCACAGTAAGACACCCCCCCTCCCCGCGCGCTAACCCCCGGGCCAACAAGAGTTATTGGCATAAGTTGTAAACACTGGTTTCATGATTGTTGTTGAATAAGTCTGTACATTATCATTTAAACTTTCCCCCTTACAGAGCTGAGAAGAGATGGTTTCGGCGAGCAGAAATTTTTCCATTGTCTTGTTGTTGAGGATACTACTGCGAAAAGTAAGATACCATTAAACTTATTTGTGGCTTTAAAAGGTTATAATATTGTCATTAATGATAGAGTTGGTTATATGATACTTTACTTTGATTGCAAATATGAATTGAAGACTAGGTAGAAAATTAATAGACTGTGTTTTGAAATAAACCCCTGCATGATCCAAATGTATGTCGTCAGAGCCGATTAATGGGAGGTCCTTTGCAACATGGGGGGTTTTCTTCGCTGTTTTCTACTTACAGGACATAAAAGAAACCACAGTTGATCTGCGGTTCCCCTTGCAATAATAATATTTATGAAACCTCCTGTGGAATAGGGGATTGCGGGTTCTACCATGTGCCCTTCAGGAGGACACATACAACGCAAAAAAATAAGCTAATGCTTAAGTTACAACACTTCAAAAACCTACTTCCCTCACTTACACATCTTACATTTTTGCTTAGTTTCTTAGTCATACTAGTCTTGTATAGTCTAGAGCCCGCTGTCAGAATAACATGACAAAGGACTAACCAACGGCATAGCTCATGTATGTCCAGGGAAAGGGAAAGAGAAGGCCTGCTGTATATCATACATGCTGTAGGAGGCGACTGATGTGGGGCCCGATCGGAATATAGCGTATTTTCCTACTTAGAGAATATGGGAGAGACCAGCATTGATCTGCTGCCATTATTACAACACTTCGGATCTTTTTTCTATTCTCTCTGAGCTACTTTTACTTTACGACGGTGTCTCCCTAGGCAACCCTCCTCATTCAATTCTGGCTGTCACCAGGACGTAAAACCATATCAAACAAACAAACAAATAAAGTTTTGAAATATTTTTTTTCTTTTCTGCTAAGCTTTCTTTATTCATGCAGGATAGCACGGTTCAGTAGAAAAGACATTTTTTTTTAATTAATAATTTTATTGTATAAAGAACCAAATGTTGGCTTAATAGTTATCTCCCGTAGAAAAAAAAATCGAAAAGGAAGACATTTATAGCGTGCAAATTACAGCTAATGTCTGTCAGTTTTATAAGTATGTGTATAATTGTTAGGTCCATCATAATACTGAGCATGTGCTATTTTGTAACAATTATTACTAAAGTTACATTATTTAGAATCAATTATTAGTATGACTTACCATTTTGTAACAATGGTTACATTGCTCATAGGCATAAAGTACGGCGGGTTAACACTACATATATACATTATAGGGAAAGAAATCAATGCATATAATACGAGTATTTATTACATACTTACTAATAAATACGTTTTTTTTTTGAATATGCGATACGACACAATTGCTCTAACCCATATCAGCCCTCGCCGTATCACACCCCAAAACCCGTATCAGCCCCCGCCGTATCACACCCCAAAACCCATATCAGCCCGCAAAACCCATATCACACCCCATTCGGAAAAAAAAATCATTTTTCAATATTTCAAAAATGAAAATAAATCATAAGATAGTAGTTTTTATTAGTAAGTATGTAATAAACAGAATAAAACACGCCTTTTTCCATATCACACCCAGTATCAACCCGAGACTGCAATATCAGCCCGCGGGCCGATATGGAAAAAGGCGTGTATTATTCTCTATATAATGTATACGTATGTCGTAGGAACCCTCCCAGAATCAGAAACTTTCTTCTTTGTCCGCTGTTGAGAAAGAAGAACATTGCAATAGTTGGGATATTTGTTTTTTTCAATCTCTAACCCTTTACTAGTTAAAACCAAACACACGGGTCTCTTGGCATACGAACTGTTTGTTTACCCATTTCTACCGCCGATACTTAAGAGTCCCTGTTCCACTGCAGGCAGATCACTAGAGAGTTCCACTGAAGTTTTGTGGTATTTACGTATACCGTAACCAGTAACTGTAGCGTGAGTTGGGCCAGATAGCGCAGTTACATGTAGTTAGAGCGACAGTATAACGTTTTGAAGTTCAGGGTTCGAATCCTACATTTAGTACACATGTATAGCAGCGCTGATATTTTAAACACCTAACGCTGTTGTTGATTTACATTTTGTATCTTTCATCTTACATTTTTTTTTAAATTTAATAGTCCTGTAAGGTATGTTTTTCTTTTTCCGAAATTATGTGTGAAAGCTGTAGTTATGGCGGGAAAACAGTTCTAAAATACAGTTACGGTTTTTCGTAATGGAACAGGGATCCTTAAATGATAATCCTAAAAGCATAATTATCCGAGCTGATAAAAATCGTTGCAGCTCCAGAAGGCAAAGCTTTCCTGTGGGGGTACGCCCTGTACTACTTCACCTACTCCACGTGGGAGGGGCGTGTCATGTACCTCGAGGATTTGTACATGTCACCGACCTACAGGGGGCGTGGCACAGGCACCAAACTTTTTCAAGCAGTAACACAGGTACAATCTGGCTTTTTAATCTTTTTCTGTGATTCATTTGACATTCTGAATATAACTTCAATGCATTCACCCTGTAATTTCATAATGAACTATTCCAACTTTTGAAAAGGAAGAGTTCAAATGTGTTTTTAGGGGTAAATGAGTTGAGTTTTCAACTAGCACTACTGTAGGAGGCTATGTGTTTGCACTATGTGTATATATTCTGTCTTCGCTTTTGTCCAAAATGTATAAATCTCAGGCATACAGTCGATTTCATTTTCTCTTCAATCTGTTAAAAAATTTGGTAAGGAGGTATATATAGAGATTGCGGAACGCCTTTTAATGAATGAAGGTAACTGTGACCTAATTTATTGAAACTATGATTGTTCCACAATCAATTGCCTTGTTATATTGTAGTTGCCGACATTAAACACGACGCTGAACAAGTAAACAAAATAGCATTGCCTGTTTCATTTCTGAAAATTACGTGAATATAATTTGTGAGATTACTTTTTGCATCGATATAATTGTATTGATATCGATTCTCTGTTTGAGTTAGGTTGGTGTAGAAAAGGATTGTCAGAGGATGCAGTGGGTGGTCCTCAACTGGAACAAACCATCTATAGATTTCTACAAGTCACGAGGAGCATGGGACGTCACTGCCAAGGAGAACTGGAATATATTCCGAATGGACCGACCGGAGTTGGAACAGCTATCTAAGGCAAACTAATATACCGGTCTTTAGGTCAAGAACATTTGTAAGCGTTGATCTTGGACGTGCTGGATACGCACACTAGTGCTCGGAACCGTCTATTCAGACAGTTTTCCTATATAATTAATCAATGGAAAATTATCTCTTTATGTAATAAGGTGGCAAAAATATCTAAACATCTCTACGTCATTTTAACTTAAGAACATTTAATTCGTAAACATGAAATAAAAACTTTAGAATTGCTGATAGGACTTTTTTGATCAATAGAAATATTTTATAAATGCCTATATATAATAAAAGATATTATACATTAATGTAACTATCGCTTACAAGATTTTACCGACTGTTTGTACATGTATCTTTTCTATATGAATAGTATCTTATGAATTTCAATGATAACATGACAGAGTTCTTGCTACGTGGTAAATTTATTATTTATATTACAATGCACAGCTGTAAGTTAAGTACTTAATATAATATCATATTATATTTCGAAATGTTTATATCTGGGTTTTTTTCACTTTCATTCAACAATACTTTATTAAAAACTATGTATCACATTTTGTTTACTATATAAACAACATTATTACGATATCGGTAAAACAAACAAACAAACATATGCAGAAGGAGTAACAAGAACACGGATTAAAAAGCTGTACAAGGATGAGCAACAGATGAATTCAAAAGGGGAAAAAGATATTAAAAATATAGAACAAATATCACTCCAGATCCCAATATTTCGGCCTCCTAGCCGCTTCCAGGGCGAAAGACAGATTGATTCAAGTTACTTTCATTTCCCTTGTTTTAAGTCCGTCATTTTCTCTACTCCCGAAAAAAAGCAAGATGGACGTTACTTGAATTTATCGTTGACTAGGAGGCCAGGAGGTGGAAATATTGGGATTTAGAGTGACATTTGTTCTGTTTGTACATGGATTGTTCTACAGCCAACCAATATTCAGCTGTATCTAGATTCATTGCCATATTAATAATTTAAGTAATTTAAAAAAAAGTGCATAATTTGTATGCTGTGTTTTTTTAACCGGAAGTGGTCATGTCGTTTACAGTTGCTATCCCTGTCCCACTGCACTTTCTTTAGTGAACTTCCGTTGTCCAGTTAGCTTAAACGGTTAGAACTATAGTATAACAACAGCTGAAGACCAGGGGTTAGATCCCGGGTTAGCCTCACTTAACTCTATGCACTCAAAACACTCTTGTTGATAACAGTTTGTTTGTTTTATCTTTCCTATTTTTCATAAAAGTCCCGCAAGGTACGGATTATTTTTGTAATAAATATCAGCTCTATCGTCATGCCGGCATTACAGTTTTTGGCAGTGATGCGGAGATTTTAAACAAAGTATCAATGATTCAATGCGTCGTGATCCTATAAGGAAGCTTGACACGATACTGCCATGTCCATGTAAACCTTCTCTCTGTTTCACAAGCATTACTTCTGCGTGGATGCTTTGTTTGGTTTAGTATTGTAAAACGTCCTATCAACAGCTATGGTCATTTAAGGACGGCCTCCCCTGTGTGCAAGATTCATGCGTGTAGTGTATGCGTGTGTGTTTTGGGGGATTGCGATTTGTTCGTGTTTGTCTCCTTGTGATAGCGCGGAACTGATGCCGGCTTTATAGTGTTACCTCACTGAAACATACTGCCGAAGACACCCAGCAGGACACCCCACCCGGTCACATTATACTGACAACGGGCGAATCAGTCGTCCGACTCCTACATTGCTGAGCGTTAAGCGGGAGTAGAAACTACCATTTTAACAGACTCTGTTATGTCTCGGCCTGGGGACAGAACCCCAAAAGCCTTCCCCACAGGGGCGAACGCTCAACTACAGGCCAAACGTGAGGCATTGGCAAAGGAGACTTTAGGAAGAAGAAAGTTGTTTAGAAAGAAGAGTAAAGATAAGACCCCAAATTTAGTCGCCTCTTACGATCATGCAATGGGGGCAGTAGTTACACTTATTACGCCCTACCTGCAGGGACCCTGCGTGGATGTTAATAAGGTGAAATGTGATAGTGCCAACTAGATCCCTTGGCCTGTACAATTACCAAAAAACTGTCGCGAAATGTTAATTCTTTTTACAGTTATATCAAAACGGAATTTAAGGGGAGGTAACAGTATATTCGAAAATCCACAGCGCAGTGAGGCAGGGATCTCTAACTGTATTGAAAAGAATGCGCATCAAATATGGTAATGCGGTCGGTGGCTAACTACAAGAGGTTTTTGTTCAAAACAAATTGGCATACCTTTGAAAAGCATGTCAAATTGTAGAGGAAAAACAAAGTTATTGGATGTTCAAGTAGATCAGACGCACACTGCTTGGTGATGCCTCAAACACAGAACCGTACTGTATTCCGGGAAATTATTGCCCAGTCAATCTTTCGCCCTTCGATCATGAAATCAATAGTCACCCAGTGATAGTTTCAACCTTCACTGTGAACTAATGTTCGCTGTAATGATTTGCCCTCATCACGAATGGCGAAAAGGCGAAAATTAAATTGCAGCGAAAATTTTCCGGTATACAGTACATACTAAGACGTGACAAATAATAGCTGTAAACATATGTATCTTGATCATGTGTAAAATGAGATTCGTGCTCAATATATTTTCAAGTCTATTGTATCAATTTTATCCATTGTAGACGCACTAACTCTATTATGCATGGTTGGATATACACTACTGATGCCTGCAACAAATTGGTCTAAATGTGACGAGGGAATTGACTGTATCACGTTATTTAACGTTATTTCGTTTGCTTTGCGATATGAAAGTCGACGTTTTTTTTTACAACTGTCAGTAGTATGTCTTGATGTCACCACCCGACTTACACTTTATCAATATGATGACGTGACATTTCTTGGATTGTACCTAGATTGAATGGCAAGTGTCGTCGATGAAGCAAAAACCCTCACCCTTCCGGAACACCTGGTCTGAATATCCTTGTTGTGATTTCAACGGTATCCTTGCAAATCTTTTCTTCATTCATATTTTGCTTTGTGGTTTTGTTGATTCAGCTGTAATTTCTTGTTTTTACATGTACATGTATATACTAAAAGGAACACAGTTTAAACCTGAAACAGATCTACACAACTAGCGGCTTAGCTAGTCCTTGGTCGGAGTAGTAGATTCTTTTATGAGAGCGGAGGGCCCTGGAAGCCC